TGGCAGGCTACCACAAAGTATCAAGACAAAAAGAGATCCTGAACAGCACGTATAGTGGTTGCCGCAGACAGCAACAAACACTGAAAGCAAAAAAATGACTATTTTGGCAGAAATCACTGGCCAGCAAGTGACGCTGGTCCGACTGAGTGATTTGGCCATTGGTGCAAAGACGCTATCACTAAAAAGGCATTAAACACTATATACATGCCTATACATTTAACTGTTTTATATTAAGAGTGAATGACATCAGATAAAATTTGTAGCGCAAACGCTGTGGTGACTCTAAGCTAAGGTGCAGTAAAAAGTGTGAAATGACTTCAGAAAGAAAATTAATAGTCGAGCAACCTTATTAGATACTACAAACTATAGTAACAAAACGAAAAAGAAATGGTGAAATTGCATCTGCCGCCATGATCTGACCGAGGATGGTGAACACCGAGCCCTAAAATATGACAGAACAGAGGGTTGCCGGAGATTGAAACATGAAACAATCAGTGAAGCTAGCATGTCTCTCTGGCGTGAACCCAAATCAAGATCGGCGGCCATGCAGGAGTTTAAAAATAAACAAAAAAAGTGCAAGGATATCCTGTGGAAAGTGGCGAGCAAGAAGAGGTTCGCCAATACTAGTGGCAGGAGCATTTGGAAATCAACGAAATTGCGTCAATGCGGGCGTGTTTTTCGCCTGGGTAAAAAGTTGAAAAGAGAGAGAAAAAAATGCCTCTGCTGGAGTGTGGTGAACGCAGAGGTGATTGAGATTTGGACATCGGTGACAACGGCGTACCTTCGCCGTGTCTTTTAAAAATAGTGAAGCAAACGCCGACCTCTGCTAGGCAAATTGGTGAGCAAAGGGGATGCGGGCTTTTGGACATCTGAGACATTACCCCAAAGGGGGCGTGATTTGCCGGTTTTAAAAAATGTGTTTTGGACGTCGGTGACATCATGCCGGAGGCATGTCTTTGTCAGTGGTAGTAAAAAAAGTGAAACGTATTGACCTCTGCTAAAAAATTGGTGTGCAAAGGTGATCAAGGTTTTGACATCAGCGGTAGTAAAATGAATGGCGTGTGTTTGCCGGTGCTGAAACTGTGTAAAAAATTGACCTCTGCTAAAAATATTGGCGTGCAAAGGTGATGAAGGTTTGACATCAACGGTATTTATCAATGGCGTGTGTTTGCCGGTGCTGAAACTGTGACATAGAAAATTGGACCTCTGATGGAAAGTGTGAATGACCAGAAGTGGGATTTTGTAAGAGAGAATTGGACATCATTGTTAAAAGCTGAAGGTATATTGTTACATTAGCATTACTCGGTGGTACGTCTTGTTTGTGACACAAAATCTGGCTACTGCCTGAAGGTGCAGTTTGTCCATAGCAACTAATGCACGGTGTGCTTGTGTGTGTGTGTGCATTCAGAGCATTGGGCAAGCGATTGTGTGCATTTGGACAGAGCTGACAGTCCACCAAGCAGTCAAGTGGCTAACCGGCAGTGGCGGATACATTCTAGCTGCATGTAGTAAGATGATGCAGCAGGCTGTAGTTTGTGTCCCATGGTACTTTCAGAAACAGGAAGCCAATAGCAAGCCGCCGCTGGGGATAATTATTGTTTTTTGTTGTTTTTTTTAGGATTTTTGAATGGATCGAGCACAAATGTAACGTTCCAATAGTTCTGTTCAGAGGGCAAGCTAAATGCCATGCCATGGTGTCATGCTAGTACCTGACAGAGTGCCCGCTGGGACAGAGTACGTCAACAATTGGATCTCTATGCGCCCTCCTGGACTGTGTGAATGCTGCTGGTGGCTGGCTGCCCGTGTGTGTGTGTGTGTGTGTGTGTATGTATGTATGTGTGTGTGTGTGTGTGTGTGTGTGTGTGTGTGTGTGTGTGTGTGTGTGTGTGTGTGTGTGTGTGTGTGCGTGTGTGTGCGTGTGTGTGCTCGCATACTTCTCACCTCTTGCTGGGTGTCCTTGGCAGGAGACGGTGGTGCTGGGTAGAGTTGCCGTAATTGCTCGGTAGAGTTTGAAGAGCGTGTGGGCCAGCAGATTCGCCTGCGATTCTGCCGTGTCCCCACCGAGGAATGAATCATCAACATTACCAACACATGGGTAGAACACACCGCTGGAGGTAGAGTGGTGGAGAACAAGTTGCTTGCACCATTACAACGGTTCCCATAGCGACTGGCTTGGCTAACGCATGCTATGGCAGCAAGGTCTTGCTTCCACTTGCAAATACACACTCTGCGAGCGCCGTCAACAGGAGACTCGTCGCGTCGTTCTGGGAAAACCTCTCCCCGCTGTGGTTGCCTTGACGTCGATTGCTAACATCGACGGGGTTGCACACGCCCATTCTATACATGGCACGCAATCAGTGAATCTTGAAGCCACTGGCTGTATGGCGGCCCGAGCTTGTCTAGTAAAGCACAGAGCAGCCCGCTGCTAGTCGGGGCGCGTTGCAATTAACGCTAGCTTGAAGGGCACGGAACTGACAACGGAATAGTCCTGGACGGCGTGAATGACAACGTGGAAACTCCACACACCTACCGCCGGACGGGTCTTGCGTCATACGATATCGCAGACTACACATCATCACCATGGGTATTCCTTTGGGATCATGCAGTAATTAGCCAGTTGGCCCGCGTCCGTCAACACTTCCTGCTTGTCGTCTGCTGATATTGGTCCTGACATCTGGAGTCGAGTGTTGGTGACCGGTTGCTGAACACGCGGTGGTTGTACGTGGGCCTGTTGGTAGTCGTGTCCACTCCAGACTGCGACCATGCCTGGCCAGTGCGCGGGCGGGTCTTCGCTCGGTACATAGCCTGAATGCTATTGTCCGGCAGAAACACGAGACAGTTGCAGCAGCAAACAAGGCATGACAGCCCACTCGACCCACGCGACGCACCACTGCAAGTCCTCACTGGCACTTCTGGCGGAGGCGAATAGCTCTGCCCTGCTGCATCACGCTGCGTGAATGGCCTCTACCGGTATTCGTCAGTGCCAGAGCCGAGAGATCGGCTCGCGGCCACGCGGCATACCCAGCATCTTGCTGGCGAGCACAAGAGAAACCTTCAACTACGCAGCTCCTGGAAGAAAGTGGCACTGACACGCCGTCCCTGAGGCTTTTTCACACCACTCTCAACTAGGTGAAGGCCCGTGATGTCGCGTGATTCTTCCTCTTGCAACGATGCTGCCTTTTTTGGTGTCAACGGAAGGTTGGTGATTGGGGGTCCTTCCGCTTTTGGTCATTCTCTGCATGTACGAGGTCTCATAATACCCATAAACGTATCTTGTTTCCCTCCCCTATATAGGCGCTAGGCCTGGGTGTAGCGGGGGCGAATGCCCTTTCTCGACGGGCCATCTCAACACACAGGCGACGCGTTTAGCACTTCCCTTCCTTATCAGTCGCTACTCACCAGTTCCTGCGTTGTGATTACATACATGTACATATAACTACGGGAAGCAACATAGTACATTGTACGGCGATGGCCGATGCTGCTTCTTTTGCCTTCTTCCCCTTTCCATTTTTATTTATTTATTCATTTATGGATTCCTCAAAGGCCGAGGCCTATAAGTCGAGGGGGTCTCCGTTCATGGCTTACTGTGAATATATCTGCAAAATTATAACAGTCATATAGATTGAGAAGAGGAAGGGTTATAACAAATGCGTACTGTAG